AAATGGTCAAGGCAAGATGTGTTCATCCATTTGTAGACAAAGAACCTAGGGCTGTAAATTCTAGGGATGTCACTCAGAAATATATTGGGTGAGAGTGAAGCTGGTGAAGGTAAGAGTTATTTCAAATTTATTTATTCAAATTCATCATGGTCTGAGTGGCCAGGTCCCTGATGATTAAGGCCATTTTTCTGCCGTGATACTGGGAGAACACTATTCTCAAGAAAGCTTTCTAGCCTGCTACAGGTAGGAAAAGACCACATGACCTGCCTGTACTCATTTCCTCTTCCAGTTGAAGCAACTGGTACATGTGCTCTGTCCACAAGTGCTGGAGGCACGGGAGGCTGGCTTACCCGATTTGATCCAGGAAGGAAATAGGCATTCAGCTAGCTTTTCTGAACCTTGGCCCTCCATAAGCACAAAGGGGTATTATCAGTTCCTCCAAACTGAGAACAGGGTGAGTTAAGTCAGGAAGGGCCTAGAATACTTAAGCCTCTCTCATTCTAGCCCTTTCCTCCCCTTCTACAAACTCCCTTTTATCTACCCACCTGTTTCTCTCACTGTATACTCCACCCCTGCCTGCAGATGCTGGGAGCCCCACCCCTGCTGCTGGCAGCCACCTCATTGGGCGTTGCACTCCTGGCCTTCCTGCTGATATTAAGACGCTGGGGCTGGGTCCTGTTACTCATAATCTTTTTCGAGAGAGTTCTGCAGCCAATCCGAAACCTGATCATGGGTAACACTAAGGAAGAGCGCATCCTCCACCATGTGCAACAGCATGCGAAGCCTGGAGACCCCCAGAGTGTGCTGGAGGCCATTGATACTTACTGCTCACAGAAGGAGTGGGCCATGAACTTGGGCAACACCAAAGGTGGGTGACCTGGCCAGTGGGCATAAAAACAAGGGTGGGTGATCTGACCAGTGGACATAGAAGCAGGGACCTGGGACAGGGCAGAGCAGGACAGCACATACCTTACAAGAGAGAGCTGCTACGAGCAGGCAGCTGAAAGCTTGGGACATGCTGAGGTGGGAGTGCTGGGCTCAGCAGGAGCTTGAGCCACAGGCTAGGCAGACTGTCTGGAGACCTGGGTACTCATTGCAGGAATCTGTCCAGACTGCTGTCCCAGAGGGGAAAGAGGGAGATTTGACAAAATGTGTTTTGTACATTTTGTCCCTGGTGCTTGAGGTCACTGTCCAAGGACTTGGGGTTTTGAATCAGGCTTTGCAAAATCCCCACCAGGGACATCTCTATGGATACTGGCCCCTGGTGACCCCTTAAGACCCTGCTTCAAGGATTTCATGTAGGTCCCACACTTACTGGGAGTAGGGATGGTGTAGCTCCCCTTGACTTCTGCCTGGTCTGTATTATGGGACCTGACTGGGAACGAGTTAGGCAGGTTCTCCTGGGCCCACCCCCTGGCATTGGACTCTGGCCTGGACACAGTGTGCTGTGCTATGCCCCGCCACCCCATACTTGGCTCCTGGTGGCAAGATTTTTGAGGCTCCTTTCCAGTCTCCTCAGAGCTCATAACATTGAGGGAGTCCACGAGGGTGAAAAAGAGAGGACTGGTATACACAAAGGCATGCCAGTCCTGGGGAGCCATGGGAATTCCATGGGTGTGTGTGGTGGGGACCAGGTCCTTGAGGCTGGTGTTTGGAGGTAGGTAAAAGACCCTCCCCAGCCAGGCATGGTGGCACACACCTATAATCCCAGCACTCAGGGCTGAGGTAGGAGGATCACTGCAGTTCAAGGCCAGCCTCAGCTTATAATAGTGAGTTTGAAGTCAGCCTGAGGTATAGATTGAAACTGTGTCTCAACCCCCAACCCCAGAAAAAGACCCTCTCCAGCAGTGGGCAGAGAGGATGGAGAAGAAGGAAGGGCTGCTGCTAGATGCAGAGTGTGAAGCTGCAGAGTTCCTCTGTCTACCTGTGCTCACACCTGCCCCAAACACCCCCCAGGTGAGATCATGGATGCTGTGATTCGGGAGTATGGCCCTTCCCTGGTGCTGGAACTAGGGGCCTACTGTGGCTACTCTGCCGTACGCATAGCCCGCCTGCTGCCACCTGGTGGGCGGCTGCTCACCATGGAGATCAACCCCGACTATGGTGCCATCACTCAACAGATGCTGGACTTCGCAGGCCTTCAGGACAAGGTGTGGTATGCCTGAGCCAGGTGACAGATATGAACAGTGAGGCTCTGAGTGGCCTAGGTAAGCAGGGGAAGACCCAGGTCACACCTGAGCTCAGTTAAAAAACTGAGCACCCAGCCAAGCAAAGTGGTACACTCTGGAAAGCTAAGGCAGGAAGATTACAAGTTTGGGCAAGCCTGGGCAACTTAAGTTAACAAACCATGTCTCAAAATAAAAACTAAGAAAGGCTGGGGATATACAGCTAAGTATGACGGTCTAACCCCACTTACTGCAAAAAAGAAAACCAAGGGGGCCAGCCAGATAGCTCAGTGGACTAAAATGCCTGATTAGGCAGGCACAGGGACTGGGCTTCCATCCCTGGCATGATATGCTGGCCTCACCACCAGAGCACGCTGAGAGTGCAACTGAGACTGGGCGTGGTGGCGTGCACCTGTAACCCCAGCACTTGGGAGGCTGAAAACAGCATCACTACAAGTCCAGTCTGTGTAGGGAGACCCTGTAGACCCTGTCCTAAATACATAATCCCCCGTAAAAATAAACAACCTCCCAATAAAACACGGGTCAGGCCCATTTGGTGCTCAGGGTTAAGGAAGAAACCACCAGCACCTCTAGGAAGGTGGTTTCACTGCTCTCTGGGGGAAGGAGACAGAATACAGACTTGTCTCTCCACACACTCAGAGTAAACCATTGGCAAGTACATGCTAAGAAGTTCAGGCAGGGGCTCTTGTGTCCCAGTGGGGATGATAACAGCACACTGTTCCAGGTCACTGTCCTGCTTGGGGCATCCTATGACCTCATCCCCCAGCTGAAGAAGAAGTATGATGTGGACACCCTAGACATGGTCTTCCTTGACCACTGGAAAGACCGCTACTTGCCAGATACCCGTCTCCTAGAGGTGAGCAACACCTGCTTCACTCTTCCTTTAGATCCTGTCTTAGATCCACAGAGGTGCTGGATTTTGGGAGAAAAGGAGTTTGGAGCAGTGAGTTTGGGCCAGGGACCAGGTAGCATGACCTGTTGAGAATGTGGTACAAGGTGCTGCCATGTGGAGTGAGCACTATGATCCAGAATGTCTGGGCCATGAGGGCAGAAGGCCAAGAAGACAGCGCAGCTCTGGGGCCAGGCAGAGCTCAAACTGGGCATTAGCTGGTGCTGGCACATGAAAGCACTTGTGGCCTGGATTTTTCTCCTGAGGCTTCTGCCATCCAGCCCTTGAGCCCCTCAGACTCCTCACAGCCCTCTGTGCTACTGCTCACCAGTAGTGACGCCAGCAGTGATAGAGTCATCCTCAGAGTACCTGGGGCTTGGGGCATGGACTGCACTAAATGAGTGGCACTGGTGAGAAGCCTGTCCCTTCTTGTTTGCCAATAAGGGAATACTGAACAGCTCTTCCTTGTCTGTCTGGAATCATCACCCAAGCTGTCCCCGGAGTTGAACACCTCCCGTGTGCAGCAAGACCCTAAATGTGAATGGCTCAGCCATGGCAGGGCAGTGCAACCATGGCCTGGACACAGCTGAGAAACCAGCACTAGCAGAGGCCTGGTGGGTGTAAAAGGACATAATGTCATGGCAACAGAGAGTTGGGGCATGGAGGGCTTTCAGCAGGTAAGGGTGGGGTGAGTCCTGTTGTCTAGAAGGATTTTGGTTGGTCTGGTAGAATGAGAAGATTGGTTACTGTGGAGGGTGAATGAGGCCCCAGCCCCATCTGCTTTTTGAAACAGTATAGTTCAGACTGGCCTTGAACTCTACACATAGCCCTTGTTGACCTTGAATTTTCAGTGATCCTCCTGCCTCAGCCTCCCGAGTGCAGACTCATTTTGGAAGTATGAGCCCTAATATTTTCAAGAGAGGGAGTCTGGGGTTAGAAACTAGACCAGAAAACCTGCTTTGGCCAAGGGGACAGGTTTGGGTGGGGGGCTAGGATAAACAGAAAAGAGACCTGCAGGTCAGGGCAGGACCGCCATAGGGAGTTCTCTTGGGCATGGGGAGGCCCACTGTGGAAAGGGGATATGAACCTGGAAACTGGGCACTGAAGGCAGAGTGCAGGTGGCCGACCAGATGGCTGTACTTGGATGGAGGGCTAGAGTCATAGGAGTGGATTTTGGCAGCTTTTAGTGCATGATAATTACAGGGGTCTGCTTTTAGAAAAGTAGCAAATATTGCAGTTCAGTAACTGGGAAACTAATAGTTTTCTCAGTGCTTTCTCAAGACTGGTAATTATCTCAAAAGAAGAGACAGCATGAATTGGAAATAGCTGTACTTTAAAAATTGGAAATGGCTATACATTTAAGTGTGTTCTACAGACCTACAGCCAGGGCTTACTAACCCCTGGCTTATACAGGATCCAGGCCAGCCTGGCACTGTGGAGACCCAGCCACCCACTCTACTAGTCAACTCTGTTATTAGAGGCATAAGGGTTAAGGGGCTTAGGGACAGGTGCAAATTCAGAATTGGATGGCTACTTCAGGAGGCCAGAGGGCTGCCTGAGCATCTCATAGCATGATGGATGGGCAGGAGTGGACAGAAGCCTTGGTACCTTTTTATAACCTAATACTCTGACTTCCACCTTACTCTGTTAGCATTACCAGACCTAGGCCTTGTCCAGGTGAGAAGAATGAGCCTCCATGCATGAAAGAAAGTGTCACCAGCCTGGCCTGCAAGCCTGTGTTCCATATCACACCCCTTTCTTTGCTGCATGACAGCCATGGGTTTGCTCAGACTCCAATATATTTTTATCCAGAATTCTCCAGCTGGCCCCTATGGTCACTCAGGAGACTCAGGTGAGCTGAGGAAAAGCAAGATAGGAGCTGCCTTCTTCCCCCTCAGATGAATTTCATAAAGAACATTAAGCCCCTAGAGCCCCCCAAAAATAACCAAAATTTCTTTATCCTATGATGAATTAATGGAACTTTAACTGGTCTTGCTGGTAGCCAAATTGTGGCTCTCTGCTCCCTGGATGACCCTACAAGTTTGGGGACCCAGTCACCCTCCTCATATTGTACATTTCTCTGCTACAGAACTGAGGGAGCTTCCTCTTGGGTCCTGGGAACCTGTGGCCTCCTGCTGAGGAGGTCTTTATTCCAGGTCTTTTCAGCCAACATTTTCAGCTTTTTTAAGAGAAAATAATACATCGTGATTTATAGTGGTACTTCCTATTCAAACCATGGAACATGGGACTGTCCTTTGACCTCAGAGCTTCATTTTCTGTAGGACCCCTGAGGACCCACAGCTTTCTCCTGGAGCTCACTTGGAGGAAGTGACTGCCCTCCTCACGCAGATCACTGCATGGCATAGTCAAATGCCAGCGCTTTTCAGATCCCTGCTGTCCATGATCTGAGACACGTAGGTTACATTCTTTTATTTTCAGTGCTGGGATGGAACACAGGGCCTTCCACATGCTAGGCAATCACTCCCTCACTAAGGTACACCCCCAGATCACTTGTTCCATTTTGCTTTTGATGTTCAAGATTATATTCTTTCTTTAACTTTTATAATTCTTTGAGGAGATAGGGCCGGCCAGATAGCTCAGCGGATTAAAGCGTCTGCTTAGGCAGATGCAGGGACCAGGGTTCGATCCCCAGCGTGCCGTGGTGGCATGTGCCTATAATAATTAGCCAGCGCTTGGGAGGCTGAAAACAGGAGGATCACCATGAGTCCAATCTATGTTACTTCGTGAAACCCTGTAGACCTTGTACCAAAATACATAAAAACAAAAACAAAAAATATAATTCTATGGGGAGAAAAGGGAGGCACATCTCCAAAGTCAACTCCAAGTCAGGGACATCCCTTCTCCAGCTGCCTCTCTCCCCCCAGGACACATTTCCTTTTAATATTCCTCTACTTTTTTTTTTTTTTTGTGATATAAGCAGATCCACCTCCCAGCTTAGACAAGTGTCTATCTACGATGTTTCTCCCCTAACAGTGGACCCTAGAGGCTGTCACCTGTGATACTATGTCCAGTGATGACTCCTTCCTTCTGCACAGAGCCTGGGCCGAGGAACCCCAGTGTGTTCCCAGTGGAAATAGGGGTGTGCAAATGAAGCGTGAGGCTACCCAGAACAGACAAAGGACGTGCTTGTCAGTGGAAAGGCTGGCTTTGCCCCTTCAAACTTGCAAAATCACCCTCAGCAGCTGAGTATCACCTTAGAGACCACATTAGAAGCCCAAACCCAGAGCCTGTCCTTTGAAGATTCCTGCATTATTAACACTGTCTAAGGGACACATTGGCCACACTCGAGCCCCACCAGCAGTTCTACTCATGCAGCATTTACTGACCAACTGGTATGTGCTACATACTGTTTTAGTGGCTGGGGATGAATACAGAGGTGAATGGAGGCTAGGGTATATAAATCAGTGGTGGAACACTTGCCCCACATACACAAGGCCCTGGGTTTGATCCTGTACCACAAAGAAAGGAGTAAACGGAGGAGCAAAGGTCTCTATCCTCATGAAACTGATGCTTCAGAGGCACTGAAGCTTAGCACAGCCCTTTCCTGCAGTAGATGCCCTGAAGAGAAAATAAGGGAGATAAAGAGACCCAGACCCTTTCCTGGGCTAGTGTGTGAAGCAGCAAACTGGGAAAGCACTTGTTTTTGGGTAGGTTTACCAGGTAATCTGATCCTGCCGTCTCCACTTGTCTGTTCCCTGTAGGAATGTGGCCTGTTGCGGAAGGGGACAGTACTTCTGGCTGACAATGTCATCATCCCAGGAGCACCAGACTTCCTGGCATATGTGCGTGGGAGCAGCAGCTTTGAATGCACACACTACAGCGCGTACCTGGAGTACATGAAGGTGACGGATGGCCTAGAAAAGGCTGTCTACAAGGGCCAAGACAGCCCAGTGCAGTCTTAAATGCCCACCCTGCTCTGGGTTCCCCTGCCAGTCTGGTCCAGAAGGATGAGCTAGATGGATATATTCTTTCCTTAAATATAAAGCATACTTTAGGCCTGTGAGGCATGAGCCTTCTTCATGTTGACCTTCTGTACTGCAGTTCTAAATTATCACACGTGGGACACTTCAAAGTGTAGGAGGCTTACCATGCAAAACCACTGCAATGAATACTATCTGCTGATAAGACTGAATTGAGGACTTAGCTATGACTCAGTGGTAGAACACTTGCCTAGTAGGGTCTTGTTTTTGGAGATAGGGTCTTACTATACAGCTCAGGCTGGCCTTGAGCTCACTTTATAGCCCAGGCTGGTCTTGAACTCGCAACAATCCTCCTGCCTCAGTCTCCCGATTGTTGGGACTACAGGCATGTGCCACCATGCCTAGTATGTATCAGCTCCAAGCCCTACCACGGAAAAAAAAAAAGACAAAAATTGGAGTAGATCCAATGACAGTGTCACCAACTGGCAAATGGAATTCCAATACATGCATTGGTCCACAGGCACTGATAAATTTATTAGACCTAGGAAAGGGCAAGGAAGCTGCAAACATCTGGAAACTGTTAGGCTCACTCTCAGGCTGTCCTAGAGGTTTGTTATCACCAGGGGGCAGCAGTGTTACAGTGACAGTACCAACTACCAGCTCATCACACTTCTGACTCAGATTTTCACCTTTTTAAGAATAAATCATAGCCTCTTTACTAAACTCAGCTAACTGTAATAATCTTCTATACCAAAACATTTAAAAACCTAAAATGGAAATTAAAGATCTAAACATTTCCATACAAGAGATCAACTGAGTGTTATTCTCAATCTCATTGCTCCCTCTTTTCTGATGCCCTCAGTTTCAATACCAAACACACCAAACATCCCCTTCCCCAGCAGGATGCTGATGCTACAGGCCAGGGTCCTGGTTGGGTATCACACCCAGCCTAGGGACTCTTGGCTACAGCAGTGGAAAGGGAGCCAACCCTGCTTGGTACTGCTCCTCCAGGTTAGGCCAGGAACACGTTAGGTTCACCAGGATGTCTGTCTCCCCAGAAACCAGAACAGAACAATTGGCCAGCCTTCACACCCATGTCTGACCAAGGAGGTGCTAGATGAGGTGGTGTAGGGGTTATGCAGAGTACCCAGACCCTGAGGACACACAGGTGACATTGAGTGGAAGTACCTTCTATCCTAATTAGTCTCGTTTACCAGAGGAGAAAAGCATGCTCAGGCTGGCTGGATACTTCTGCTGATTGCCCAGCTGGCAAATGATGAGGTAGAATTGATTTGTGTTGACCTATGTCCAGAGTTGTGCTGCCACCTTGGCCCTCAGGTCTTAACCACCCAAGTAGACTGCTGGACACTCACGAGGTCTAGTTCCTAGTCCAGACCAACGCTGACCAAGCCTTTGTACCTGGGCTTAGGGCCAGCTAATCACCTACAAGTCAGCCCACTCCTCTGGGCCTAGAGAGGGCAGCAGCAGCAAGCCTGGATGGAAGGGCATGGAAAAATGCTCATGGGCTGGGCCCTTGGCCCTGCTGGTCACAGGAGATAGCAATCTGGGGTCTGTCTCTGCCCACTCCCCACCCTTCACCCTCAGCACCAAGGAAGGGGCTGGCAGATTGTAAGTGGGGCTCTGACAAGGAAGACAGGAAGTTTCTTTGCTCCTTTTTTTAATTTTTAAATTTTCTTACAAAAATTTAGATGTTTACCAATACAATGTTATTTTGGTTTCATTTTAAATGCTTTTTTAATCAGTGTTCTGTTCTTACGTCATGAACAGCAGGCACTGAGCAGCAGCCTCTGTTGATTGACCACTGGAGGTCAATCCTGAAGGTTACGGAGGTTCTGCACAGATGCAATGCGGCAGCCATGGTGGCCCCAGCCAGAAGTGGCTCAGTGCAGGGTCCTTCTGCTTTGGGGTCCCACACATCCACAGGATTCCAAGGGTAGAAAGGGGTAGAGCAGAGCCTGACCCTTCCTTCTGCCTCTGAAGCCTCCCTGCCCAGGCCCACCCTTACAGAGCAGCCCCAAGCAGCCTGTGGTCAGCCTGCCATGCAGGGTGGGGCTCTGGTCAGGGGATCCTCTCTGGAGTTCAACTTCTTTTCCCAAGACCCCTCCCTGCCGGGCTGTTCTTCCCCAGTCCATCCTGCTCCTCTGGGCACACTCCTATTCTGCCAAAGCAAAGCCAGGTTCCCTCCCCGATTGCCTCACTGGGTCCCACCCCAATGTTCTCACACTCACACACAGCACCATGTCAGTAAACAGCTAACTCAGGCCTAGGAGTTAGGTCAGGAGAGCGAGGGAGGGATAGATGGGTGGGTGTGCAGAAAATCGGGCCCTGGCTCAGGGCGGGAGGTTCCACCAATCCCTGTCACCAGAGGACTCCAAGCTCCACAACAGGGTCTGCCCAGGCTGGCCCTTCTCCTGGCGATCCAATCTCTTAACAAATGGCTGAGCCTGGGCCCTGCAGAGGGAGGGGAAGGTGGGTGCTGCGGCGAAATACACAGGCAGCAAGGTCAGCAGAATGGGGCAGGGCAACATACAGACAGGACAATTGCCTGCATGGACCACATTGAAGGGGAAGTGGACAAATAGTTCTAGCTGCTATGGATAAGGGGTATGGTGGGGGGCAACCCCAAATAACTTGACACCAAGGCAAATCCTGACTCACTGGTCTTTGTGGAGCCCTGTGCTAGGGGCGTTTAAAGGTCTGGGGGCCCATCTCTGATCTCACAGTGCCTAGGATGGCGCTGTAAGCCCTGAGAGGACCCGCCTGCTCAGACCGCTGTCTGACCTCACCTAAGATGAGTGCTGGGGCCAGGTGTCTTGCTGGGGAGCACACAAGGAGCGCAGAACATGCAGCCAGCACAGATTAACAAGAAGCCCCTGCCCAGGGAAAATGGACAAACAACCAGACAAAAAAACGTACCAGGCATGCAAGCTAGACCCAGGAGTCAACAGGCTGAGGCTTAGAGTCCCCCACGCCATCCACCAGCCTGACAGCAGGCCTGCTGGGCCCAGGAAGAGGGGCCTTCCTGCTGGGCTCGGGCTGCAGCACACAGGTAGGTGAATGGGTGGGTGAGCAGCAGGACATTAGAGGCAGAACAAAGCAAGTCAGCTGCAGCTAAAGGACAGAGCTGGGCTGTAAGGATGGGCCCAGCAAGGCAGCACAAAGGAACTGAGCTGGTGTGATTCACATAGGCTTGGGTGGCATGTGGACGCACAGAAGTCCATGCATGAAGCCAGGGGATTGGCGCAGAGCAGGTGGCAGGTGCTGTCCTCACTAGCGGGTTATGGCAGGCACCTTGCCCACACACATGCATAAAGAGAACACCCGCTTGCTCAGGCTCTCTGGTCCTCTGCAATATGTAGCAGGGCAACTCTGTTTCCTGCTGCCTTCTTCCAAATAAGCACTCATGCAAACCCATCAGCACTCACAGGCTGACTGCTGCCATGGCCCAGCTGCCTCACCAGTGAGTGCTGCCCCAGTGGTACCCAAGATCAAACTCTACATTGCCTAGCTACTCTTTGGGCAAGCTCTAGACCTAAGGCCTCCCTGGTAAACTGAAGCCACTTACTTTTAATGGTTCCTTCTCGGGAGCCTCCCCTACAGAGTTGGGGCCTAGGGCCCTCCGTTCCCTCCGGTCCACAGTAGAGTATCCATCTGTGGAGTGGGGCAAGGTGGGAAATATGAAGACAGCTTTGAGAGTGGCACTGTAGGAACAGGTTGTCCCCTCAGCCTAGATACCCCTGGAACAGGTGGCTGCTGCAAAGTCCACACATATGCTGTCCTGGAGCCAGCTTTCACTGCCTCACTCCCTGAATACTCCTGAACCAAATCTCTTCTACAACAAGCATCTCTTTGGAAATGCTGGTTGCAAAGAGTGCTGGTCGCAAGAATGCTTGGCTGGTCGCAAGCAGCGGGCAGGCTGTAGTAGGACCAGGGCAGACGAGCCCAACAGACTGGCCTCTAACATTAGGTACCCTCTGTCACTCATGTCTTTAAATTCCTCTGTCCAGCCGCAGTTTGCTGGCAACCACCCTCCTCTTTGGAAAGCTTTCCCATCACAAAGGTAACCCATACAACCACCAGGCCCCTCCCTAAACAGGAAATAAGCCTGCACACAGGCTCTCACCTGGACCAAGCGTATCCATGGGAATCACATCACGGCTGCCCGGCTTCTCACCATCTGCAAGGTACAAGCAGGTGGCTGGTCGCAAGCAGTGGGCAGGCTGTAGTAGGACCAGGGCAGACGAGCCCAACAGACTGGCCTCTAACATTAGGTGCCCTCTGTCACTCATGTCTTTGCATTCCTCTGTCCAGCCGCTGTTTGCTGGCAACCACTCTCCACCCTGGCACCCATGCAGATGCCATGGATATAGAGGGCCAGAAGGCTAAAAGCAGGGAGATGGCCCCTCAACCATGACGTCATCTTAGTGGGAGAGAAGGCCTGTCTCCTTTTCCCCCCTTACCCACTCTGTTAGCATCAGTACAGGTGAGTATTGGCTCCTGAGCTCAAGAATGGACACAATGCTGCCTCTACTTACCAAGGCTCTTCTCCACCAGTGGCAGTGTGCTGTCATCAAAGCCCCCGGGACTCTGTGCTCCCTTGGGGCCCTTGGTGGTGACAGCTGCTGACTGGGACACAAAAGGCAAATATGAGGTGAGGTCAAAGGCCTTCCTTAGAGATTAGACCTGGCAAAGTGAGAGTGGCAAGCCAGAAAGAGGCGCACCTGGAAACGTGCCTTGGTCCAGCCATCCCTCTGCAGGGCGCTGCGCAGCTCCTTGTAGCTCCACACAGTCTGCAGCACATGTGAGGCTGCCTTCGCTTCACGCACTGACTGGCTGCGGCAGGCCAGAGGCAGGGTCAGCGACCTGCCCAACCTCATTCTCCCCTGCCCCATTCCCATCCCAACCCCACCAACCTGGCTGCCACCAGCGCCACAAGCGCTGGCACACCATGGGCCTGCAGGAGTGAGCGCGCATTGTCTAGACTCTCAGACACAATCTCATGGATGGTGTTGAGCACAGCTACCACTGTGTCCTCTTCCAGGTGGGCCCCAGGACGCGTAGGGGACTGTGCATTGCGAACGTTCCTCACAAGCTCAGCCATGGCATAGCTTCCTAAGAGGCAGGGTTGGATGTTAGGACACACCTAGGTCCTATGGCTTTAGGAAGACACAGGGGTCAGGTGTTGGGTGCCAAGAGGGGGTGCCACAAGAAGTAAGCTGAGCCTCAAGGACAGGACCAGGGAGATGCAATCTCCAATGGCTAGGACCAGCCCACGCCACTGGGAATGGCCTGGACTCCTGAACTACTTAAGAGTAGCACACCCTAGTCTGGCCCTTGCAGCCTTCTCACCTATCAGGTCTTTGTTGCGCTGGTCTAGCGAGAGGTTTCGCAATGCGATGGCAACAGCACGCACCACTTTGTCTGTCTCAGACTGCAGCAATTCCACCAGCACTGGCAGCCCGCGCTCTTTGCGCACTGTGGCACGGATGTATGTGGCCCACTGTAATGATGGGGGCAGGGCAGTGGGCTGCTCTGCCGGGGCCAGGCAGCACAAAACCCTACCCCAGCAGCTTCACTGTACCTCCAACAGCTATAAGAAGTGCACCACTCTGCACCCCCAAGACCTTGCTGTGGAATCCCCTCCCCCACCAATACGAGCAGGGGCTAGTGGCAGAACAGTGGTGCTCTCCTCTGTCTAGCTCATGCCCTTCCCCAAAGACCTGGCCCTCACCATCCAGTTCCCTGCACTGAGGTTTTGCAAAGCACCAGCGGCAGCCTCCAGGGTGTTGAAGTTCCGGCTCTCGGTAAGGAGGGACAGGTAGAGACGTACCACTTCAGGCTGATACAGCAGCTCAAAGCCTGGACACAAGGCAACCACACCCACAATCATCTAACTCTCTTCACACTTTTAATTCCTCACCCCTACCCCCAGTATTCCCAGGGGTGGGGCCAAGGTGGGTGTGGAGCAGTAAAGACATATTACCAACGCAGTCCTTAGAGCCACCCAAAGGGGGAAGCATTCCCATTTCACAGAGTAAACTGAGGTTCAGCAATAGATTCAGGTCAGTCTTTCCTCAACCCTGCTGCCAAAGAAAAAGGGCTAGCAGCCTTAACATTCAGGAAGCCTGGGGGTTAGGAGGAGGCAGCAACAGGGCCCCTCCCCAGGAGCACAAACACAAACTGCGTGGCCTTGGGACTGCCCTTAGCAACAGGTCCTTCTTCCCTGGAAACAGGGCCTTTGCCAGTGACTGAGACTGCAGTCAGAGACCCACCCCTAGCAACAGGGCCTACCCTTCCAGACAACCATGTCAGGTTCTTAGACTGAGGCCCAGCCTGGCTACATGGCTCCCTGGAGATGGTGCCCTGTACTGGGTTCCACACATATGGGCCTAGGTGGCCTGCCATGCCTCCCTATGCCTCATGCCCATACTCTCTCCCTCTAGCCTGCTGAGCTTCCTGCTCCACACCCTCTAAGCACATTCCCTTCTTAGGACATTTGCACAGGTTTGCCTGGAAGTAAGTACCCCTCAGACCTCCCAGGGCTGGACCCTTCACCCCACTTGAGGGCATCTGTGCTACTTGACTAGCAGGGCTGGCTGGGCCCCTCCATGGTATTTTCTCTCAGGCTGGCTTTCAGTGTTCAGCACAATACCAGTGCACATTAGCAATCCAATAGATAAGGGGACAGGAGAAATGAGCTACCTGCCCCTCTCTGCGTGAAACTAACTGGGATTCTCAAAGGGCTCTGGACCTTCTCAAAGGGGCACCAAGGACCTGCCTTCATGGGGTTCTTTCCTCCAACTGGCCTACTTTTCACCTGCTGAATAAATGAATAAGAGCTTAGCCATTCCTCCCACCTGCCCTGCCCAAAAAGTCATGGGCCTGACCCTAATTGTAAACTCTCAGGAGGCGCCAAGGACTGGACCATATGACAACCCCAGAGGTATGGGCCTGATCCTGACTACACAAACGCTCACCAACTGGCCGGTCCTGGATTCAGGCATGCCGGCTGGTGCTGGCTCTGCCCTTGCCCACTCACCTCTGGCAGCCTCAGTTCTCTTCGGCAGGTCCAGCGTGTCAAAGTTCCGGTCCATCTCACCATCCTTCTTGCCTGGAATGGAAGGGTGGTGGGAGGTGAGGTAGACTCCATAGCAGGTAAGAATGTATGGGTGGGAGTAGGCACAGTCCTTTCAACCCAGAGCTCAAAGAGCACCTTGGTGACCAGCCCTGGGCATCAGAAGACCCTGGGAGTAGAGCACCACTGTTCAGAGTTCAGACAGGCAAACTTCAAGGACTGGGCAATGGTACAGTAGGACCTGGGGACCTGCCCTTTGGGAAACAGCCAGATATCCTCTGATCTCCATGACTATCTGCCATGGACACGAGAGAGCCTTTTGCCTAGGGTGAGAGTCCAGAGGAATGTCTCAGTATAACCCACCCACCTTTGGCTTTCTTGCCACCAAAGTCCCTAGGGGTCATCTCCCATCAGTGCTAGGTGCTATAACAAACCCTATTGCTCCTCTGTGGCTGTCAGAGGTTTATAAAGTGTAAGAACCAGGAGCCCAGGCTGGGTGGCAGGTAGAAAAAGACATGAGTTGACAGGGACAAGACTTACCAAGGTCTCACAGCAAGTCTAATGCAAAGAGAAAAACTACCTGGACTAGGAAGGGCCAGCCTCTACTGGGAGAATTCCCATATCAAGGCCAAGCCACTAAATAGCCCCAAAAAGCACTTGCCTTCCTCCACAACAGTGAGAGCTGTCTCTAGCCACCACCTGCATCTCGGCTGAGGTAAACTGTAAAGCTGACAAGGTGAGTGAGATGACCTGGGCCCCTGCCCTGCCCATCCTCATGGGACCTTTACATATCCTTGTGTCTAAGCCACACACTACCCCATTCCACTGGTATTCCGGGGGGAGGGGCGGGGGGAGCCTGCCTCTTGATGCCCTGGGTATGGATATACTCTTGAGTCCTGCCCACTATGTTCTGCTGCAGCACTGACTAGGAAGCTGAGTCTAGCCACCAACCCACCAGCCCAGGGCTCACATTCTTGCATTTGTCATGTCCCCAGTTGTCATGGAGATGGCCCCTTAATGGGCCTGGGGATGGGGGCAGTGCCTTGTGCTGGAAGGCATCCCAGGAGCTCACTGCACCAGCTGTCCTGCAGTTGTCATGGAAATAACTGCCTGAGTAATTAGGGACAGGCACCTCCCTGGTACCACTGCACCTGCCAGTCCTGGACAGTAGGACAAACAGGAACTCACCTTGATGGAACCACTCCTCTGGGCAGCCGAAGGAAGCACAGGAGAGAGGAGATGAACCTGAGCAGGTGCACCCTCCCCATGCTCTTATGTTCCCACTGCATGCCCTGGGCCAAGCAGGCGGGATGTGGATCTCACCTTGAATATTCTAGGGCATAGAATATTCACCCATAGGCCAGAGAAGGGGAAGCCTGGGGTCAGAGGGACAGGTGAAGGGGGTGAACAGGTTCCACAACACTGTACGGGATAGAAGTTGCTGGAACCTGCACTATCTAGGTACAAAAGAGGATGGTGTATAGCAAGGGTCTCACTCAGGTGCAGGGGGATTTATCAAGGCTTGTAAGTTCTAGGTCACCTGCTCTAGGTACCTAGGCAGACTCAGGGAACAAGCCCAAGAGTGGCACTGTACAAACTCACAGGCCTGCAGAGCAGCTTCCCAAAATTCAGGGACAGGAACTGGGCAGTGGTAGAGACTATCACATGGACACCCCATGGGGGTACCACCACTGCAGAGGGAGAAGGCTGAACTTAGGTGTCAACCCTGAGCAGTGTGACCCAGGGCAGCACACAATTCTCAGCTCCCTGCTTCCTGACCTGCCCCTTGGGAAATAACCAGACATCCTCTGGCCTCCATGACCATCTGCCATGGACACGGAGAGCCTTTTGCCTAGAGTGGGAGTCCAGAGGAATATCCTAGTATAACCCACCCACCTTTGGCCTTCTTGCCACCAAAGCAGCTGGCGTCATCCCTCCTCCGGCGCTGGTAGCCTGCTGCACTGCCTGGGGCTGCAAGCTCAGCTTCCTGGTACCTGTCAGCACCAGGCACCTCCTTGTGCACATGGTAGGACAGGTTCCGCATGATGCACACGCAGTTCTCCACTGACTGTGGGGAGAGGTGACCTGGTGGAGCAGGGTCATGGAGCGTGGGGACTGCTGACCATCCCAGGACCCCATGCATGGAGCCAGCCCTCAGGAAAGGTTGGCTACTGCCAGAGGGCACTGAGCATGCAGGTGGGAAGGCCTGAGCTGGCGCTCCACACAGGAGGTAACTGCCAGGGAGGAGCCCCGTCCCCCTTGCATAGCTCTTGCCATGTGTTGGCCCACATCCCCTCCCCAGTGTGGCCCAACCACACGTTCACTCCCCTGAACCATCCCAGATGACTCTGGACTTGGGTCCATTCCTGTACTGCCCCTCAGTGAGAGGATGTAACACTGTGCCCACCTTGTTGTCTGTGTCCTTCCTGCCCACAGCTGACTGCAGAGCATGCAGGAGGGCATCCACCAGACCCTCGCACTCACGGAGCCGCCGCCGGGCCTCAGCACCATCAGAGCTCACATTCCTGGTGGCCAAGAGCAGGCCTAGTGATCCCTGGTTCCCAAGCTAAGTCCCCAGCACCACACTTGGCCTTGGGCTCGTCTTCATGTGTACAATGGGCCTTGCTGCCGCCACTGGGACATAATACTACAGCCTAGACACAGTGAAGGTGAAGCACAGAGCTCAGGCCATTCCCAAACCCCAGGTGAATTAGAAAGGGATAGGAGACCCAAGAGGCCTGAATCTGTGCACATGCAATTCTGCCCACCTTCATCCCACTGGCAGTTGTGTCACAACTTGCCCTGAAGTCAGGATCCTATAGGGTCACAGGGACATGAACTGATGGAAAGGCATGGCCATAGGGTTGCAGGAATCTGTCCGTGAGATCTCTACAAGGCCACCAAGGAGTGGGAGGGAGTAGAGGCCACAGGGTGGAAAGGTAGAGGTGGAGGGTCTCAGAGGCAGATTGGAGATGAGCAGTCTGCTTCTCTTCCCTGGCTGTCATGATGCCAGGAGGGTAGGCAGGGCTGATTGGTCAAGCACTGTAGCAAAGGTGGGAGACCTTGGGAAGGTGTCATTGGGGGTAAGGAAAGCCCCATCAAGTCCATTTTCCACCCACAGGATTTGTGATGTGGCTCTGAGGCTCTTAAGATTCACTGTGATGGCTGTGTTCCATGTTATCTCGAACCCTGAGGACATGGTAGCCCCAAGGATGAGGCCAGATATGCACACTGGCTTTGGCATTTCCTTTTGTATCCCTGGAGTACCCAGGTAGACTGGGGGAACAAGCCCAAGAGTGGCTGCTGTCCACACCTCAAGCAGCCTGATGTGTTCTTGAAGACAGTTGTCCACTCAGCATCCCGAGGCTTGGAATCCTCGTTGGGTTCCCGCTCCCAGCCTGAGTGGGGCACGATGACCTCGTGTGTCAGTGTCTGCAGGCCATGGTCAATGATGACCATCTTCAGGGGCTCATAGGATGACAGGTTCCACAGTGTGCCTATGGGGTACCACCGAGCACCATGCTGATCATGGACCTTGTCCACCCCCCACACCTTCTTGTGCCCCAGCCTACACAGAAAATTAGTAGAGCTTTGTTACTGCTGTTTTGTTTGTGGAGTTGAGGAGCGAACCTTGGGCCTTAGCTCCTGCTAGCCACATGTTCTACCACCTAGCTACAGCCCTGGCTCACAAAGAAAATTAGCAAAGTAACAAAAGTTGTGAGAGGTTCTGGGGTCTATTCTGACCTAGACAGAATGCATATGCAGCACCCAAGGTTGCTACCATTTGGAAGGGGTAGGGTGCAGAGGAAGGCATGGCAGCTACTCTTCCTACCCATTCTCTGCTTCATAAGCAGGTGGGATTAATGTCCTGAAACCCCTGCCTGTCCTTCAGGTTCTTCAAGACACAAGCCCTACCACTGCACTGTCCTGAGGTGGAAACCAAGCAGAGGAGAATTACAGGGACATGTGGGAAGGGGACCTCTCTGATGGGCCCAGTGATACCCCCCTCCATCCCCATGTAAAAAGACCTGTCACAGCCTCTGAGCCTAGTGTCTATACTCAGGGCAAGCTGTTCCAATAGCAGCGATTCCTGACCAGCTGGCTGCTACCTGCCCCAGGGCCTCACCACTCTCAGGCTGAGCCTTTCTGTCCTTCCTCTCTTCCGGAGGAAGAGTAGGCACAGCCAATCTCACTCACCAGTGACTAGCTCACGGACCTCATTGTCACGGGCAGCCCGCAGCAGGCGCACCAGAGCAGGCACACCACCACAGTCCCGGATGGCAGCCTTGTTGTCAGTGTCACGGCCATAGGAGAGGTTGCGCAGGGCTCCACAGGCCCGCCGCCGCACCTCGGCCCGAGGGTGGTCCAGCAGTGCTACAAGGAGTGGCAGCCCACGCAGCTGCCGCACACGACGCTTCACACCCTCATTCTCAAAGCACAGATGCTGTAGGTAAGCAGCTGCATTGGCCTTCACAGGGTCCACGGGGTGCCGCAGCATGGCCAGGACCTCGGGCAGCTCAGGGTCCCGCCAGCGTGGTTCCTTGCGGGTGCTGTCCACTGAAGGTGAACGACGCACCACCCGGTCCAGGCTGCCCAGGCTGCCCCGCTCGGGCTGGGCCAGTGGTGCTGTTGTTGCTGGGAATGGAGGCCTCTCCTCAATCAGCTCACTGGCATCATCTGCTGTGTCCTCGTAGGTCCTGTGCAGGCGAGCAGGGCATGTGAACACCTTCACAGTAGCCAACAGCCCTGCCCTCTGAGCTATCCATTACATTGTTCACAATACTGTGAATTTCACAGCAGGGTTGAGAGGAGAGCATCTATGTCTGAGCCCAAAGCACAGCCTAAGCACTTCCCAGCCCAGCAAGAACTGACTCAGAGCCACATTCTGGACAATGGTCATCAGGACTTACAGCCCTCCCAGAGTAAGGAGCTCACTCACTCATGTCATCAGGAGCTAACTGTGTTGCCATGTAACAGCCATCCATGATGGGATGGGGGGCAACTCCCTTCCATAAGATTATCTGACAAGTGCTGAATGTGAGGTGAGTTGTGACCCTCCCTGTAGATGACTGTTCCAGTACGACTCTCTGAGGGACAGTTAGACCACCAGTCCTGCAAGGTACAAGATGTCCTTGACTCTTAATACCCTTTCAGGTTAGTCATTAAACCCCTCCCACAGCAAGGGAATGAGGCTACAGAGGTTAGGTGATTTGCCCAGAGTCACACAGGAATCTAGACCCAGGTTGTGGTAGTGTTTTATCCTGCATAAAGGACAGAACCAGAGCTTGTGACAGAAGGACTAGGATTCTATGATCTGGTTACTATTGTACATGGGAGAAACTGAGCCCCAGGCAGAGGCTGGGGCTTCAAGCTCAGAGTAACAACTTGAGCCTCTCATGCTCAGGTCTTAACAGCTATTTGGCTAGAGCAAAGCAGATGCTGGTTATTGTCATCAGTACTTCTTCCATCCAGCCTGACTCCTACCATCTCAAGGCCTGTCCTTATTGCTGTCCCTGAGCAAAGTCAAGGCTAATTCAAGCTAAAGTGTGCATGACTAACTCAGCCCCAACAACTTGGTACTCTGGGCTAGGGAATGGAAGGTGGACGTCCCAGAGGAGGAACAGGGTGCTCACCTGGCACGGAGACCCCGCCCACAGTCAGGTCTCCTCCGTGTGGCTGTGCCATAGTCGGGCTCCAGCTCAGGGCCACCCTCGTCATCAGCAGCCAGGCTGCGTGTATCATCCTCCAAGCCATAGGGCTCTGCCTGGAAACGTTCAGGCAGAGAGCGGCCACTCTGTGGCCCAGGCTCAGGGCCCACAGGGAAGGCCTCCCGACGGCCAGGCAGCGTGAAGCACCCATCACCAGGTATGGGGCCAAGGGGGCCAGCACGTGGGGGGCGCACTCCAAGCCCTCGAGACAGGCTGCCATAGTTAGGGCCATCACGAGTCTCATGACCATCAGGAAAGCCACCCCCACTGTTGAGGTAGGCTCGGGAAAGTGTGGCTACTGGGCCACCAGCACGCAACAAGAAATGCCGGTCCAGGGGGCCATCGGAAAAAGGGCCAAATGGGGGTCCACCATCCAGCAGGGGGAGTCCATCTGGGCCCAAAGGCACCTGGCGTACTGTTCTCGTGGTCACTGTCTTGACTGTCTTGGTGACCTGGTGGATAGGCAGGTGGTAGGGAGGCTGGGCAGCCCAAGAGGTCTGGCCAGTGCTCTGGCAGAACCAGGGAGACCTCCATATCTACCCAAGCAAGAGGCAGCCACAGAGGCTGGCCCGCACACCCACTCTACAGAGGGACAGCTGTGGCTGTCTTGCTGCATGCCTGCCACCTGGGCCCAGCCATACCTTGGTCTCCGTGCGCCGGGTTGTGCCATCTTCAGATGTGACAATGGACACATGTGAGGTGGGTGTGCCAGGGTCTTCTTCTACAGTCACGGTTTCCTCAAGCACCTCGGGTGCCTCTGGCATTGTGGCCAATGATGCCTGGCTACCGGGGCTCTGCTCCTGGAAGTTGAGAGGAAGGTGTCAGGGGCAGGACCCGCAGCTGACGTGTCCCTCAAATGTGGATGCTTGCACATGGCAGGCTCAGCCTTAGCTCATGCCAGCCAGGATACTAGGATCCTTACCCTTGTTCTAGGTCCTCCTTAGGCTGAGTTTGGCAGATAAACAAAGGATGACCCTCTCTGAACTAACTGCTTCAGGTTCCTCCAAGCCCAAAGAAGAGCGAGCAGGAACCTGCAAGATGTCCTCCCAATGTTACGTGCCACCAGGGCCTCCCCGCCAGCACCCTCCCAAAAACCTGCAATGACCAAATGATCAAACAAGTTTCAGCACTACTGACTTTTGTGGCCACACCCAGGCTCCTGCTACTAAGGCCAGTCAGGCCCCCTTGCAGGACAGAAATACCCAGCTCCCAGGATGTACTGCATACCCAGAGCACTAAAATATCCTTGCTTCTTCCGGCACAGACAACTTGGGGCATGGCGTGGGCATGGTCTGTTTGAACCTCAGACTAGAGGCCAACAAACCCTGGTGGAGACCCTGAATGTCATATCAAGGACTAGAAATGATAGATCCATGGCTGCATCTATGTTGCCATCCTCCTGTGGGGTGTGTGTATAGTGGAACTATAGGCAGGACTTCACTGGACTAAGGCCCTCCTACGGCCTATCCACCCAATGGCTGGACTTGCCCGTGAAGAAATGAAGGTTCAAAGAAGACAAGCCAGTCCCTGCTGTACTGAGTAGCATGAGAGACCCAAGAGCCAGTCTGTCACTCAGCCTTTGCTCATTCAGGATCCCTAGCCCCAGGGCCCCACCATGCCAACAGTCTAGGATCAGCATCTGCTAGGACTGGCAGGGGCTGAAACCTAAGCTGTGGTGGGTGGATATGAGGGGGAGTAAATTCCCAAGCAGCCAAGACCAGGTCAACAGGAAGGCATGTCCCAATTTGTTGCCCAGGGCCCAGGCCCTTTCAGAATGGGTCCCCTGCCCGGGCCCTCTGAGGGCCAGTAGCTCACACTGTATCTGGCTCCAGAGTCCTTTTCTAGGCTTGGAAGGAGTGCCACAGAAGGTCCCCAGGGCTGCCTTTATAGTCTGCTTCCAGAGATTTTCAGGACAGGATGCTCCCTCAGGCAGGGTCTGTTCTAGAGGAATGCTTGATCCTCAGTGGATCAGCATAGGACTCTGTGCAGAGGCTGAACCAACATGTTAGGACAGGTACATCCCTCAGGCTCTGGTGACAGAGAAAGTATGTGTTCCTTTCCCCTGAAGCAAGGCCTTAGTGAACAAGAAATGACTTTACAGACAAGGAAACAGAGGCCTGGCAGAAGGGAGCTTCACGGTTGTCAGGTGGAGATTTTAGGCACTTGTCTGACGAAAGAACCTGTGTACCCTAACTCACCCCTTGGGGACAGGGCCTTGACAGCCACCAACCCAGTCCTAGAATGGCCTGGAATGCATCCCTGGGACTTAGCCAAAAGAAGAGACCCTGTTCCCTGGGAAAGAGAAATATCCTGAGGCCCAGAGTGGGGACAACTGGCAGGCTGCCAGGCAGGGTGGCCCAGGGCTCTTCTCCAAGGAGACTAAGAAGTTAGGACAGATCCAGAGAAAAGTAAACAAAGGATAAGTGACCTGCTAGGACCTGGGCTGCCCCATCTGTATTTGGCAACTGCATGCTAGGCCCCAGCTCTCTCTGTTGTGTCCTGAGGGCTAATCATTGCTCCAACATGGAGGGCCAGCCACTGAGAGGCTGCATTCCTGGCAGCAGAGTAGGGAGAGCAGCAAGACTGAGGTGATGTGTTGCCTAGGACACTCTGCCAGTGGGCCCAGAGCCCTTAGTAGATTTGCATATGTTTGCATACATTAAATACTCAGCAAAGAGCCCCCTTCTCCATAGTAAGGCAGTAGGGCAAGTGGAAAGGGAAAAGACATGATACCTTATTGCCACTCTGCAGCCCAGATTTTTCCTCCTACCCTGGCTGTGGTAAGGGTCTAACACAGGTGCAGAGTTGGGGTGGACCATGAGAACCAGAGTCCCCAGCAAAATTTTAACAACCCTGCAACATCATCTACTAACACCCAGGCCCAAAGCTGGGCAGCGGGATCCCGAGGCCCCAAGAATCCCTGCTAGCAAATGACCTCAGGGAGCTAAAAATGGGCAATGACTTCACCCAGGGGGGAGGGTGAGTCATCCAGTACTCTCAGGAAAGCCTAGCCTTGTTACACATGCCATGGCACACGTGTATGCAGGTACTAGGATCTGGACACATTCAAACACATATGTACTTGATTCCTCAGAAACACATACATGTTCACTAGTATATAAACAGCCAGCCTAGCACACGTCCACACACAAATGTGGATCTCCTGACAGAACCCCAACTGCACAACACCTATTGCTCCAAGAGGCATGCATCTGAGTACCTGCTTTTCATGTGTTCACCCATTGTCAAGACCCTTATCCATGACGATCCTTGACATGTACTGTCAATTAGCAAGGACAGAGTACTGACTAGCCCAGTCTTCCACCCACGCATCCACTATGGCAGACTGAGCTAGTAGCAAACAGGTACACTGAAGCCTGCTGTTGAGAATGGCCTGGGACCATCTGGTGGCTCAGGTTCTGTAACAGCTTCCTGGGGGAAGGTGTTCATGGGATGGTGGGCTATTAACCACCCCCATAAAATCAAAAGTAGGCAGAGGGGTTTAACTGAGGTGCCTTATTCTGGGCTCCCCATTTCACATCCACCTATCTAGGCCAGCTCATCCTCAAGGACCTGTCTGTGCAGCCCCACACTGGTACTGCTTAAGATTTGACTCTGGACTATTTCCTCTGTGCTCTGTGAGGTCCTGGGCACAGCATCCCACCCCTCCCCCACACCCTGTGTGGGCTGATCACCTATTGTCATTCCTCCCTAGCCCTAGCCCCAGCCCCATTCTTTTCTCTTTTATGAACTATGCTCAGCCTCCCATCCCTTATCCTTGAGCCTATATTCCATCCAGGGCTCTCCAATCTATGGTACCAAGACCAGGCCTAGCTTGACTCAAAGGGTTTCCTACCACTGCTTGTGGGAGGGGCCAACGTGGCCAAGAAAGCAGACTCACACCCTCACCACTATTCTCTGAGTATACCTTGAGACCCTGGGCCCAACCAGACACTTTGAGTTCCAATTCCTCATACAAATACAGAAAGAGCACAGGTGGCCAGGCCCATTTATGTGACCATATCCAAAGAATGTGGGAAGCAGAAAAACAAGATTTTGGGTCAAAGCTTGAAAGACTGGGTACTTCACAGATTTAACACCCACCTTGTGCAAGGCTCCCTGCATATGCAAGGCATGAGTTAAAGTGAAGCTGCACACTTGGAGCCCATAGTTCCTAGGGCAGGCCCTCAGGATAGCTACCACTGGGTGTATAAAGGAATGGGGGAGTGACAGTTCTGATTCCCTTAACCCCAATGTGGCTGTCCCAGGTAGAGTGCAGGACAAGTCAGGCTGACATCTCCCACCAGGCAGCAAGCCCTTGGCCACTACAAAATACCTTCTCCTGTGGTACCCACAGCCTCTGCCCAGCCCTTAGGAACCTAGAACTCAAGCTCCACAGTTCTTGCTAGGGACTGTGCACCTGCCAAGGATGGTTTCTTGCAGAATGGCTAGAAGGCCAAGGAGCAAGCAACCTGTGTCCAGCAGGTAGGGAGAGCAAGCTTGGGAAGTAAGCTGTCACTTATCCCAGCTTCCTTAAGCCCAACCACACTGGGATCCTACATCCCCCCTCCGTGGGCAGCTTCAGCTTTGGGGTAGCGAGACCTCCGGAACACACCTGAGCTGCAAAACGAACAGGGACTTGAGGAGCCAGGTAGGTAGGTGTGAGATTTCGAGCCCACCACAAGGGGTCTTGTGAGTGGCTGCTCCTCATTAAGCCTCAAATTTCCTGTCACTGAACCCCGCCCCCTCTGAGAATACAGTACAGTACAGTACAGTACAGGGAGACCGGATAACCCCATTTTGCACGGAGACCCCTACTGCCTTCACACGTGGGCAGGGCCAGCCTCCACCTCCTCCCTTCACGTGCACTGCCGCGGCAGACAGGGCCCATTAAAGCTCCAGAAGCTCCTCTGAAGGTCCCGGGAGTGGGAGCCCGCGAAGGAGGTGGGGAGGGTAGGTGAGGAAGCCCCTCATGGAGCGGGAGGCCTAGTCAGTTTTCTCTCTCCAGATTTTGCCTTCCTCGGCAAGAGGCCGCTCAGAAAGGCCCTGGGCCCTGACTCGGCTCTCCCACCACCTGTCCTGGGCACTGGCTGAGGTATATCCACCCAGATCCTTCCCAGCTCTTCCCAAAGCACCGGCGGGCCTCCCTGGAACCTGTACCTAGGCTCCTGAGACCCGCGGCCGCGCCCCGCCTTGCGCACCCCTGGTCGGCGTGCTCACTCCCGCCACCCTGCCGGGTCAGGCTGCCAGATCCCAGAGAGCACACAATAGCTGCCTTGGGTTGGCGACTCCGCGGAACAAAAGCGGAGTCGTTCCCAGGAAGGCTGGTGCCCCACCCCGAGCCCCCTTCCCAGGACCAAGTTCCCTCCAACCTGTCTGAGTTCGGCCGGCATCCGGACGGGGGTCGGGAGGCGCAGGTCTGTGGGGTGCGATAGCGTCGGGACGGGTCTCCAGCGCCTCCACCGCTTGGGTTCCAGCGCCTAGCTCCCCACGGGGGCGGACCCGGCAGCAGCCAAGGCGGGCAGCCAATCGGGCCGGGCCGCGCCCAGGAGGGAGGGGCGGGGCGCGGCCCTGCCCCCCCCCCACTAGCAGGGGCGGGGACCTCCCCCCCAACACCACACTGGCCGGGGCGGGGTTCAGTAGCCTGGCCAATTTGATGATTTGATCTCCAGGGTCTCTTCGCAGGCTTCAGGGGGTCTCGCCCCTCCCCCAAGCAGTGACATCTTCCAGCTTAGCGACTTTACTCAAATCCTTCCCAGGCATAGTGTGCCCCCAGGAAATGAGCACACACGCCCCTCTGCCTGTAGAGTTGGGGAAACTGAGTTCCTATAGAGCAGTGAGCAGCCAATGAGGCCAGTTTCATTGGCACAAGCTACTCATCCCGTGACTCAGTTTCCCCTGGCTGATGAGACAGTAGTTATGGCACTGGCAGTACTGCAAGGTCCCTTTAGGCCTCTAGGCTCCTCTGCCTGGCCTGGAAAGCTAGTGGAGGACTCAGTTTCTTGTTTAGTGCCCCCCATCAAGACAGAGAAGCCCAGAGTACCCCATCCTTTGAAGTGTGTCACATTGGATCAGACTACAGCAGGAGACAATTCTTGGGTGACCCTGGGTGAGATACTTAATCCTTCTGGTCTTGGATGCTCAGTGAAAGTCTTGGGGGCTAAGCCACTTCAGACCCTATCTTCTATACATTTGATCTGCTGGTAAGTGTGGCTCCAGGGTGGTGGTGGTGGTGGTGGATCAGAGATACCAATAATAAAGGACATCGTCTACCAAGGTGTACCCCACACCACCTCCAATTCCAGGCAGCTAGGTATAGGAGTGGGGAAAGGCGGGCTAGAGATTCCTTCCTGGGTCATTTTCCACAAAGATAACTCAGTGGCTCAAGCATCCTGAATGCTGAAAACAGTCCTGAGATGCACAGAGCTGGGCCAATCCTGGGATATTCAGTGGGTCCAGCAAACAAAGCAGGGCACTGGCCTGCTTCTCTGCTTCCTTTTTTTTTTTTTTTTTTTTTCTTTCAGAACTGGGGATTGAACTCAGGCTCTTGCACTTGCCAGGGAAGCGCTTATTCTACTGAGCCATCTTCCCGCCCCCCTGCTTCTCTACCTGATCCCACTCAATAAAGTAAGTCTAACCTGAGGCCTCATCCTACTTCCACAATGTAGCCTGCACAGAAGACACACAGACAGTATGCTCGAGCACTCTGGGGGCCCACTATGTGCACCTCTGGGCCTCTGTTATGCCACCTGGACGAGGATGAGGTGTCCTGACTGATGGCTACCCACATCCCTCACTCACATCAGCCCTGCATGGAGCCACCCAGGCCAGGGAGTAGGAGAACACACTGCTCTGAGAGAATATGACCTTATAATTTTATCTTAAAGCTGGTCTGTCTTATCAGTTTCACCAGTGCCAGTGTCCCTACTACATACACCCTGGACTAAGCTCGGCAAGCCCTACAGGTATCTTTCTCCACTGGCTGAGGGTCAGCTCTGTTTCTGCTACCTGTTTCTGCTAGAAAAGGAAGGCAAGGCAACTGGGATCCTGGAGCAGTCCAGGGGTACAGCAGCAATCATGGGCCTTGGTTCTCAGAGCCTTGATCCCAAATACCTTCCTTGTCACTACCCCCAGCTGTCAGACCCTAGCTCTGACCTGTGGCTTAGACATACGTCACTGGGTACTTCCTGCTGAGATTATTCTGGCCTCCTTGAGGCAGCTGAATCTGACCAGCCTGGTGCCTCCTCTAGCATCCCCACCAGCCTGGCCAGTCCAGCTACTTACTACCCCAGAAACACACATTCTCTGTGATCCCAGCCTGAGAAAATAAAGGGCACGGAAGGGTGGTGGTCCAAGGTCATACCGGCCTCACCCCTAGAAGGCCAGGGCAGTCCCAGACTATGGGAACATCTTCCTGCTAGGACATTGATCCTCTAGTTCCCTCTGTCTTCCACAGTTCTCTGTGGGATAGACAGCACAACCGGTTTTGGCCTGGGTGAGCTAGATAGAAGGCCTGGTACATGAGGGCAGCCTTAGGGTCAGTGGTTCCCATTGTCCCCATGTAACCCAACTGGTGGAGTTTAGGGGCACAAGCCCCCTTTAGAATATTTGGGGTCTGGGGTTTGCAGAGGTAGCCTTTGTACCCACACCTCCTCCGTCAGTCCCAGGCTCCTACCTGCTTAAAACCATTATGCATCAGAAACTAGGAAAAAAAGAGCTCCCCAGTGGATCTGAATACTTCTGGAGACATTAATTTGATTGTAATGGTACACTTGTGATTCTATGTGAGGTATCTCAAGTGGATATAGGAACAATACCTGCCCATTACCTGTTCTCAGAAGAGAACAGCCTTAGGGAGCAGTCACTTGTCTTGTCCCAGGTCCTGGGAAATAATCAAGGGCAAATTGTTTGTGAGCTACACAGGTCCTGGTTTGTAAAAGCTACTCCACTGGGATAGCCTAGCAAAGACCAGAACCTTGTTCCCTTTGTCTCCAGCTACAATGGACCAGGCCAAACCACCAATGCATGTATAGGGGCTATGGGTCCTTGGGGCCCAGCAGAACCAGAGAAGAGTAGGGTTGTGGCACATGCTAGGGATGTGTGGGGTATGACTACAGGTTCAGGTATGCAGGGAGCCAAGGATCCTACTGAGCAGGGCCTACAGGACCAGAGGACACAGCAGGCCAAGTCAAAGATGGATGATGATGAGGGGTGCCCTCTTCCACTGACTACTGGGTGAGCTCAGCCTAGAGCACAGCCTAGAGCTTTGCTTAAGACTTCCCCTAGGGCTGACCCACTAGTGCATGCAATGAAGGAGAATATGGTGGCAGGGAGACTCCAGGGTAAGGAGAACCCTTAGTGTCTCTAGGCTGTTCAAGGATCTGCACAGAATAGATATTATCTAGCAGCCTGGGTCCTGATGGCTCACTCAGTAGTGGGTGCTGGTCTGAGGGTCAGACTCTATCCTGGCTGTTCTTCATACAGTGCTCAATATACACAAGAAAAACTTCCATGGGCTGGGGAGATAGCTCAGTAGAATAAGCACTTGCCTGGCAAGCGCAGGACCTAAGTTCAATCCCCTGTACCACAAAAAAAAAAGTAAAACTTCCATGCATTAGATACCCCACTTTCCTTTTTTCCCCAGAAGCCCCAGCAGGTCTTACAATAAGCCACTGCATGCCAACTTGTCATCTACCCAGGACCCTTTCATTGTTTCCCTATTTGGGTATTTTCATCCTCCCCAAGACATTGGGCTGTTACCTGTAAAACTAGTTGCTGCCAGGCCATTGGCAGGGACTGCCCACTGCCCATACCACCACTGCCCATGCCAGGTTGCTGAGCACGCTCCAGCTGCAGGGCAACATGGCGCCGCTCTTGCTCCAGCGCCCGTGTCAACCTCTCGAAGCGGGCTTCCTGCTCCTTCACTGAGGCCAGGATGCTGGCTGCAGAGTGCACATTGCAGTCCTCCATGGCCAGGGTGCCGGCCAGCTGCAGGCAAAGCAGAACAAGCTTAAGGGGGGTGAGAACAGAGCAGCTGCTGGTGAGGACATCACAGGCCCCATGCCCATTCCACTCACAGATCATACGACTCACTCCCAGACCACAGCATCAAGCTCTCTGGAGGGAAGCTGCATTGATTAAATTCTAAATTAAAAGCCATTAATCCGAGGCTGGCCGGAAGCAGCCAACTCTCTCCCTATGACCCAATTCTGGCCCAACAGAATTATAGACTATAGGTGTCTCAGTACCTGCTGGGAAGGGCAAAAAGGGCCGGCCTGATGAGTGCTCATTGTCTTCTAAGTTCTCTGCTGCCCAAAGCACATGTTGGATCATCTCAATCTCAAGAGACCTCCTAGCCCCATCACAGAGGTGGCCCTGAGATACAGATCTCAGCCACAAGGGAGGTATGGCAGAACTGGTGTAGCCAGCAAGCAGGCAGTGAGTGAGAAGCTGGGCTGCTGCCACCAGATGCAGGGTGATATAGGCAGATGTGGGGTGACCATTGCCTTGGTACTACCAGCAACACTGGCCTGGTGACAAAGAGTCTGGCCACCACTAAGCCACCCTAGCATGACTTCACATGCCAAATGAGAACCAAGTCAAAGCTTAGTTAAGGTTCTGACTAGGACCACATGAAGTTGAAAGTTCCTGTGTTCACAAGCGGCTCATATACGAAGCCTGAGCCAGAGAGGGCATGGGCCTAAGCAACTGAGGCCTAGCATTCAGGGAGAGGTCAGGCCTGCCCAGGCCCTGGTCCAACACTGCCCCTGTGGTGCTAGGGCTCCAGGGCTTAGCATCTGGAGCAACAAACCAGCACTTTTTCCCCACAGCCTATTCACTCACTAGCCAATGTGTTTGTTTTTCAGGAGCAAGAAGAAGCAGGCCAAGTATGCAGAGCCCAGCTGGAGGCTCACAGTCATAGGTGGGTGCGGCCCTGCAGTCCCAGTGCCCATGGATTGGTGTGTGGCTCGATGCCCAGTGCTACTTGAGGCTTGGTCCCGGCTGGGCCCATGCCAGCTTGCTGAGGCAAACTGTGCTGGATTCTACATCCCTGCACCAATGCACAGCCTGAGATTAGAGGGAAGGCCCCTATGTAGGAATGTCAAATACAGTGAGTGATACCTATCGAGACCCACTCTGTTGTTCACTGGCCTACATAAAGTCTGCTGCAAAGACAGACAGAACCCCCTGGAGAAAGGAAGTGTTACTACTGGGTTTAGCCAGGCCAGTGCTCACTAGGTCAGAGACATGGTACACCACAAAGGAAGGGACACCATGGGGCCAAGTCTACCAGTAAGTGCTCATTATCTTCTAAGTCTTCTGCTGCCCAAAGCACATGTTGGATCATCTCAATCTCAAGGGACCTCCCAGTCCCATCACAGAGGTGGCCCTGAGATCTAGATCTCAGACCAAGGGACCATCTGCAGCCACAAGGGAGGTATGGCAGAACTGGTGCAGCCAGCAAGCAGGGAGTGAGAAGCTGTGCTACTGCCCCCAGATGCAGAGTGAGGTAGGCAGGTGTGGAGTGACAAGTAGACTTACAGTCTACATGTAAGAAACTACAGGCCAGTGAGAGCAAGACATCAACGTAGGCCCTCAAAAATGCTTTTCATTTCCCCTGTACCTACCACGTAAATAAAACTGTGAATACGACCTTTCACAGATGTGGGCAGAGGAGCTGTTAAAGCAGAATGAACACACACACACACACACACACACACACACACAAAATGAACACAACTGTAGTCAGAGGTGGTAGCCACCACTGCGCTGGGGAGTGACGTGGAGACTGGGTCCTCTGGCCACCACAGCACACAGGGGCAAACAACATAGCATGGCCACTCAGGCCTCCTGTGTACAACTGCCAGCACACAGACCCAGCCTGGGCATAGACAGCAGGCCTTATGTCCATATGGACTAAGGTTGGAATTGGTGCCCAAATGAGTATGATGAAGGCCTCTCTTGGAAAAGTCAGGGTCAGTGGCAGGAATCAGGCCACCTGAACCACTGGCCAAGTCTTGTCTGCAGAATTGGCTCCTAGAAGCTGAGACTGATTGAATGAATTTTATTTTATTTTATTTGTCTTCTTTAGACAGGGTCTTGCTATGCAGTTCAGGCTGGCCTTGAGCTCAATTTGTAATCCAGGCTGGTCTTGAACTCCCAACAATCCTCCTGCCTCAGCTTCATGAGTGCTGGGATTATAGGTATGCACCACCACGCCTGGCTCAGCTGAGATTTAAAACCCAGAAGCATAAGGGACTAGGACAATACCCTTTGGTAACAATGATAGGGACCCACAGGACAACTGTTGGCCTTGTGGACAAGGGGAATTCCTTCCCTCTTTGTGCAGATTCCTGCTTGAGCTCTGGTTCCAATGTACTATACTCCCAGCCCCCATCCAGGAGAAGCAGGTCTGATCTACCAACACTGCCCAGAGTCCCCTGTCCCCCCAAGTCAAGCATGCTCTTGGTTCTGGGGTCCAAAAAGGCCCACCCTGAAGGGGGCCTGCTGGCTCCAACTGGAGATTGGCTGGGGGCCCAGAATTCTGAGGCCACAGTGAGAAGGTAGCCAAACCCTATACTGGCTTTCTCATTGCCCAATTCAGTTCACTTAGTAAGAAATGACTATGTGTCTCCCAGGTAACATCCCCTTTCTGGCCAGAAATTGCAACATCCACAAGACAACAGAGATCAGGGTACTGGGCCTCTGCCATCTGTCCTGGCCCCAGGGTACTCTCTGTCTACCCCTTGGTATGCACTGAGCCCTAAGGACTGTAAGCATCTAGGTAGAGCAGTGGATACCAGCATCCTAAATATGCTGGCTCTGAGTCGATGCATAGGAGTTTGTGTGGATACAGGTAACCCAGGCCCAGCACACCAAAGGACATTTTTTTTGGATGGTAACTCAAAATGCCATTTTTGTATTGAAACAATAAATATGTGATGTCAGGGAAAGCAAAATGCACATGATTTTTTAAGATCAACCAGAGACTTCAAAGACATTTTTTCCCAGCTGGGAGTAGGGAAGAGAGCTGTACTTCCTGGCTCAGGATGGGCAGAAGACATCCTTCTGCTAGGACCCAGGGAGCACCTTGCAGCCAGGCAGGGAAGTAAAATTCTGTGGATTATCTCTAGCCCGTGTCATGACCTCTATTCATCTAAGAAAGTAGGCTGGGTCTCTATAACTCCACCCAAACCACAGCAACAGCTTCACCCTACCCTCGGAGGAGCCCACTTCTCACAAAACATGGCTACCTGTGATATTTATTGAACAATAAGGAATGACATAGGGGACCCACAAGTAATGATATAGCAGGACCAGGAAGCAACATAGATCTCCAGAACAAAAAAATCAGGAACCTGTGAGAGAGGTTGGGAAGATCACATCTGAGATTAAACGCTGAAAAAAAATCACCTGTAAAAAGAGACAGACGAGTCCCAGAATAATAGACACTCACTGTAAACACCAATTATGAGACCAAAAACACGACCTGGATGCGCACACACACACACACACACACTATATACACTTCTCCTGGAGAAGCCCAAGAGGAGAAATAATCTGCCCAGCCCACATGGGCTTGAAGAAGGGGATGGAAGCAAGAGTAAACCACAAATAGGTAGGTTGGGGATAAACAGGTTGGTAAATGGAGGTATGATCTAGTGGGATGATGGGGAAATAGACAGATGGGTAAGTGAATGGAAGAACAGTAGGATTTGTGTATGAACAGATGACAAGATGGGTTGTTAGAGGGATGGATGGATTAAGGAATAGAGGACTAGAAGGCTGAATAGAAGGGGGATTGAACGGAAAGAAAACATGTATGTGCATAGGATGGTGAGATGGTTATGTGAGAGGATGAAGGTGATGAAAGGGTAGTTAGATGGGTAGGCATACAGATGGGTGGGCAGATGGTGGGTAGATGGGTAAAAAACTGGGTAGACATCTACACAGATGGGATGGCCAGAGGCTGGCCAGAGGGTGGACAAATGGCAGGACAGATAACAGAGTGAATGCATAGTTGGGCATATGGATGGAGGGTGGTGGAAGCAAGTAGATACTGTCAAAGTTTTTGAATACTCCTGGAAGGAGGAAGCCCAGGCCACATCTGCCAGGGTCAACACAGTCACGGCTGGTTCTAACAGAAAGACGGAGACACCATCAGAAGGATTTGAGACAGAAGCTAAATCTTTCCCTGAAACCAAAACCAACATTTGACATCTTCTTGCTGACCCAGGACATTCCTCCTCAGAAGGAGTCCAGCCAAAGCTCTGCTCTGGAAAATCAAATTATGGGGCCAGAGTCCAATCTGGGTTGAAGAATTGGAGGAATTTCCAAAGAATCAGGCAGCAGGGGGACAGATGGGGCGGGGCTCCAGCCCTGAGCCTTTGCCAGCCACCAATCAGAGCCCAGGAGAAGCGCTGGAACATGGAGCCTCCTTCTATTCCCCACTCTAGACTCTGCCCACGCTAAAGAGGACATATGGTACCAAGAAGTGGCCCGATAGCCAAAACCCACTTGTTCTGCCTGGAAGGACACTGTGAGAGCTGCCTCTGTCCCACCCTCAGCCCTGTCAGGAGTTTGCTTCCTATACCAGTGGACTAGGACTTGTGGGAGCCCTGTCGTTAACATTACCCTACTGTTCCTATTAGAGTCAGATGGTGCCTGAAGCTTCAGGGATAGCTTCTAGCCAAGCCCATGTAGGCACTGTGCCCACAAAGGTGAAACAGCAGGCCTCTGGCCTATGCCTCACACAAGGCAGGGGCTATATCCATATGTGCCAAGGGCCGGGAACACAGGGTCTCTGGTACATCCTCTGGTCTGAGGATGAGGGTGCTATTCTCAGCCTCTCAGCAATGGAAGGAACTGTTAAGATGTACCATCGTCACTGAAAAAGTGCCACACAACATAGTGGTTGTTTTTCAAGTGTGCCTGAGAATGACAGGTAGTGAGCACTTCAGATGGAGTAATGGGCAGAGGCTTTACTT